CCCTGCTATCGGCCTCCGTGAATGAGGTGGCCGAGCGTCTCGAGGGTGCCCTCCTCGAGGACGACCGCAAAAAGGCTAGCGCCACTCTGCCCGAGGTTGGCGAAAAGCTCGTGCAGTGGCTTGCCCAGGTATTACTTGTCTCAAACTTTACATTGGTCCCCCTCTCTTTCCTTTGTCGATACATGGATTGAATTATTTTATCATCTTCGTTGATAGGGCTTGGTCGAATTTTTGCTTCTGGCCAAGGAAGCCCGAGACAGCTCTGGAAAGTCGATAAAGAGTCTCGAGGGCGCTCTCGGCTTTATGCAGGACAAAAATTCCACTCTCCTGAAGCATAATGCCAAGCTCCGCGATACCCAAACGGAGCAGAAGACTGAGTTCGACATCAAGCTTAGATCCCTTGACGAAGAGCTCAGTAATAAAAGTAAGGCTCTCGCGGCAAAGGAGGTAGCGGTAGCGGAGAAGGAAGCCGCTCTGAAAGAAAAAGAGGCTGCGCTTGAGCAGGAACGGGCTACTCGAGCTGAGGCAGAAAAAGCTTGAGCCGAGGCATAAAAAGCTTGAGTTGAGTTAGAAACGGTTCGGGCACAAGCGGAGGTTGGTCGAGCGGAATCAGAGGCTACTTTGACTAAGGAGAGGGCTGCCCATGCCAGCCAATGCAAACGCTACGCTGATGCTGCAGCTCTTCGAGCTCGGCAAATGATGTGGGGCACAACTACTGAGCAGCTTTTCCTTCGCGAGTATCGTGCGCAAACAGTGGCCGACTTTATGAGGTCACCACAATTTTTGAAGGAGGTGCAAGATTTTGGGGTGGAATGTTTTCAATTCGCCCTTCAGAAGGCCGGCGAGCAGATCGCCGAGGACGATTTCGAGCAGCTGGACCCTGGGGCTATCTGGGAGGCCTTGCCAAAGGTTCCCTCTAGCTTCCAAGGCGATCCTAACTTACCGCCTGAGCACGAGTGGTGGTCGGGGCTGCTTGAAAGGACTCTGGCTCGATCAGATATCTTGAAGAAAACTTATGCGCTGCCTGATGGTATAACTCCTCCAGCTCTGATGCTGGTTGCGTTGGTCGAGTCTATTCAACAACGTCCTCTTAATGAAGCTTGTGACTCGACCTCCGAGACCAGCCATCCGCCCGAGCCAAATGCTAATCAAAGCAACACAGACTCGACCGCAACTCCTCTTCGTTAGATTCAGCTTTGTATTTTCTGCTTCATCTTTTTTGAATCTGAGCTATGTACTCTTGACAATCTTTCATGGTCTATTGGAATATTAATGTTTTGCTTAATTCGTCTTTGTTGTCGATGATCTTTTGAATGAGCTGGTTTGACATTCTTGTATGTCTCTTCAACGGTTCTTCTCATTAATTATGCTAGTGTGTTTGTTTTGTACTCGATTGATTATCCAGATTTTTGCTGTAACATGCACCACACGTACATTGCATCCTTCACATAAGGTTTTTAACACATGTCCACCCTTAGAGATAGTCGAAAAATACGACCATCCAGCCTCACATCCTTAAACATGATGGGTTTTAGATTTTTGAACACATGCCCACCTTCAGAGGTGGTCGAAACATGCGGCCATCCAGCCTCACGGCCTTAAGCATGATGGATTTTAGATTTTTGAACACATGCCCACCTTCAGAGGTGGTCGAAACATGCGACCATCCAGCCTCACGGCCTTAAGCATGATGTATTTTAGATTTTTGAACACATGCCCACCTTCAGAGGTGGTCGAAACATGCGACCATCCAGCCTCACGGCCTTAAGCATGATTAGATTTTTGAACACATGCCCACCTTCAGAGGTGGTCGAAACATGCGACCATCCAGCCTCACGGCCTTAAGCATGATGGATTTTAGATTTTTGAACACATGCCCACCTTCAGAGGTGGTCGAAACATGCTACCATCCAT